ATTCCAACACGTTTTTCAAGTTCAAGTGAACAATATTACACTCGATCAGTATTATATTATTATAATAATCAATACTCTATTGATAAGAAAATATTTGGACTGTATGGAGAGCCACAACAACAGCAATTACAACAACAACAACATACTCCTATCATTGAACTTTTATCTATTAAAAAGTTATTGACAATTAAAAATTTAGAAATTATTAAAATTAATGGAAAGGAATTTAGTGTAAGCACTATCATGTACATGCTTATTAAATGTATATTAAAAGATGCATGTATTTCTAAAGAATTAGATATAGATTATTTTATGTTTACAATTCCAACTGGTAGTAGTGATTATTCTAAAAAGATTTATCGTAATTGTATTAAAAAAGCATGTAGTGAAATATTTAAATTACAAATAGATGATTCTAAAATAATTATTATAGAAGAATATAGATTATTATCATTATGTTTTACAACAAAATCAAATAATAATAGTATTTTATTATCAGATATTGGAAATTTAACAGTTGATAATGCATGTCTTGAAAGACAAAATGAAAATGAAAAATTTAAATTAACTCATTCATCTGCTGAAGTATCTGGTACTGAACTTATTCATCAAACTATTGAAAAATATAATAATATTAATTCATTTAATTTAATGTCAGCCATGTTTAGTTCATGTGCAAAATCTTTAAATGAAGAATGTTTATTTAATATAATTGGTAGTGATGAAAATTTAATTAAAAAACTTGATACTGATATTGAAAAGGCAATTAATAATATGATAACTCCAATATTTGAGGTTTATATGGAGAGAAATATTGATCAAGTAATTTTATTTGGTGCCATTACAGATCAACCATATTTTAAATCAAAAATTGAAGAATGTTTTAAAAATGCAAATGATTTTTATAGTAAAAGAGTTTTTCTAAAGAAGGAATTTAAGACAATACTACAAGAAGAAAATGAAATTAAATATCACATTCATGAATGTAAAAGAACAGCACTCATTCAAGGTATAGAACAATTATTGAAAAAGGCAATATTAGCACCTATTACACTTATTCACACTAATCAACCTACTTTTTATCAGGAAAGAGCTGGTATTTTATTAAGTGCATCAAGAAAGAAGAGAAAAAAGCAAAGTACAGTACAATCAAATGTAATTAATATCTCTGAATGGCTTACTATTGATTTTAATATTAACAAGTCAACTGGTGATGGAATATCAAGTTCTGATTTTGAAATATTAATTGTTAAATTTAGAAATACTACAAATTTAAACAAACTTACAAGTATAACTAGAAGTAATTACAACAAAATTGGACTCTTTGATATTGAACGTCATTCTACATATTCCATTGAATTTTGTAAGGAAATTACAGCATGTGGTGATAATTTTGATGTTAAAGTAGATTTAAATAAGATTTATATTCGTTATATGGAATTTGATAATTATATGGAACAATCATTTGATTTTAATAGAAATATTTGTGTTGAAAGAGTTTCAGTGAATGAAATTCCATCAATTCTAACATCAAATGAATCTGAAACAATGGTTAATTTCTATGGAAATCCAATTAGAGCGAAATTAACAGTTACTTTAAATAAGGGTACTATTGTTAATGATTCTGAACAAGATATGTTATTTAAATCAATGTAATATAATATTCATTTTAATAAAAAGTTAATTATTTTATTGAAATGTAATAATATTTTATTTTAATATTTAATTTATTTACATATTTAAAATAATTAAAATAATTAAGTAGGTGGAAGACATTTTGGACCATTATCAGATAGAGATGTAACTAAGGCAACAATTAAACCATACAATCCAAGTGCTTCTCCAAAAATTAATATTAATACCAATCCTACAAATATCTTTGGTTGTTTACCATATGCTCTAACACCTATATTCAATCAATGAATAATTATTCAATATTTGTTATTAATGTATATATATAATAAAATATTATTAGAATGAAAATGAGTCAAACACTTACCTGCATCACCAGCAACTCCAAGAGCTAAACCAGCTGCTAAACAAGATAGACCAGCAGCCAAACCAGAAGCAAGATGTGAATAACCCTTATGATTACTATATCCACTCTAAACAATTAAATTGAATTATTATTATTAATTTTGTTAATTATTTGTTTGGTCAACTACTTACTCCTGTTGTAACATTACTACTAATAATAATGGAAACAATTAAACCAAAAATACCCAAAATACCAGACATAATAACTGGAATTAAACCCTTCACAACAAGTTTAGGATTTAAAATACCTTCAAGATTACAATAATTGTAAATTACATGATGATGTTCATAATTTCAACTAACCTAAATGAGCAACACCAACACCTATTATATTAAACAATCACACATATTTGAATGGTCATTAATTGTAAACACTTACCAGCTTTACCTGCACCATAAGCAGATCCAAGATTTGAGAAAATCAAAGCACAAGCCACACCCATATATCCAAAGAAGGCAGCACTTGGAGAACAGAATGCACTACCAGCAGTCAAGTCAAGTAATGGTAAAAACATTTTTTTAATAATATTTGTTGTATGAACTGATGATGAAACAACAGCTCATACAAAGATGTTTATATAAATACAACAGAATGAATGGCGACAAATGCCATTGCTAGTCACATAAATGGAGTACGCAATGGAGATGGTAGATAATTTCATCCAAAATGGAATGAAAGTCGCCATTTTTTTTAAGGATGGAATTGAGCTATTGAAATATTGTTGTAAAATTGTAATTATTGGTTTATATGGCAATTTGCTAAAGGAATTGGATAATTAAAATGCAAAAGGAAAATCGATACTTTAAAAAAAGTAATATTCTAAATCAGAAACCATTTTTGACATCTTTTTGGTGTTGTTGGTTAATTGCAGTTAGGTTTCTTGAGATAAGCAAATTGGCAGTGATAGTTTTAAATAGATATTGTTTCATAAGAGTAACAATATTGTGGTTTTTTTATTTTGGTAATTTACAAATATTTGAAAGTTCAATTTTAAAGTTAACTGTTATTGAGAAAAGTGAATTGAACATAAATTTAGAAAATTATTGAGAAAAAATTAACAATTTTATAAAAAACTTGTATTTTCACATACTTTATTATGATACAAAAATGTTACAAAATTAAATTACATTATTATTTGTGTATTATTAATTTATCCAATAATACATTCCATTTTTATATATC